TTCAAAAACGCCCTATCCCAGCTTATTTTCAATGTATTTTCGTTTGAGAATTCTGAGATAGGGCGTTATTCAACCAAATTCTGAAATAGGGCGTTTTTCAATCAAACTTTGAAGTAGGGCGTTCTTGAAAAATTTTCTTTTGAACTGGCTTCCGAGATAGGCCGATCTTCCACTCAGCCATCGATATACAAGCGCAGGCTATAATGACCGGTTATAGCCATACCTAAATTAGCGCGTTTCGATTGTATTCTTATCTCTCTCTCTGTCGCGATTATTTATAGGTATGGTTCTTAATCTCAAACAATACTAACTGAAAACGAAAAATGGCACTGAAAATGATACGTCGGCGAAATAGGTTTCTCCAAACCCAAACTTTGCAAGCTATGACAGAAATTCGTACCAAAATACATACATCACCAATTAAGGTCACAAAATAGTTGACGGTTGAAAATCTATCCCTCGCGCACATGTCGACGACTTGATTACCGCCGATCCAGCGGTGGCTTGATATTACACAGACACAGTGCTTCCATGATTTTCGTTGTCAAGAGTGGAAGGACCAGGATTGTCCATTGGTTGCCTGTAAATAATACCCATGTACATACGAGTTTAAACCTTTTCATTGCTTGTCGAGATTGCTAACAGGAGATTTATTTTATGATGCATTAAGGTGTTGTATTTATGGTGCAGCGATTAGCACCGCCATATGAAGTTGTTACTTATCACTACTTGTTACTACATATTTTATTTGTATCATTCGAGGCGAATTCGCTGGATCATAAACCTAGCCTAAGATGTCGGCAATTAGGATTTTACCAGATTTTTGTGTGAGATTTAATTGATAATGTCTGGCATCACTGGCTGATACTAGCCCTAAGACCGAGAGCGAGACCAAACTTTGGATTTGACTGAAGCTTTGAATGACATTTTTCAATATGTATGTACATAGTATTTTTGTCAAGAAATGAATTCGGCTCGAACCATAATCGTTTGGCGATAACGCGGCAAAAAGACTCCATTGACTTTGAGTTTCAAGTCTGCACAGTATAGGACGACGTGGCCCAGATTGGTTTTACTAAAAGTTTACCGAGCGAGCGAGACCAACCTTTGGATTTGGCTGAAGCCTGGTACGACAGTTTTTTGTAGTATATTTGTCAGCAAACTAATGAGGCTCAAGTTATAATCGGTTGAGGATAATGACTATATTGACTTTGAGTTCCAAGTTTACTAAAAGTTTACATTGATAGGAAGTCTGACTATGCCTCTGACCGTGGATATTTCCAGATATTTGTCTTTTTCGGTTCTCATATACTGTAAAATTATAGTTTTTTTACCGGTTTCGGTTGAGATCCTCAATAACATAACGGTGGCCCCTCGGCAAGCAATGGAACTCTTCGGGCATCTGGTTTTGTAATTGGGTTTATACATATGTATGTATGTATTTTATTCAGTTTACAGCAAAAAAACAAATATCCTAATAACCAGAAAGGTGGTACTTAATATCTTCAAGGTATTTTTTTTTATTTGCCAGGCTATCTCCGTTTACAACGGCACACTCATGAAGAGTTCTTAAAATACGATCTCAAGCAGCGTTATTTTAATAAACAATTGCCTTTGGAAGCTGTATTTTCCTTTTTCTAAGGGAAGCTAAAGTAGAAGGGCTTGAAATTCTGGTCACTATAGTCAAAAAAAAAGGATTAAATAATTGAGTAGGAAATCGCTTCAAAAAGTGGCTCCAAGGGCCTAGTTTTCCACACGGAAGAATTACTGTATCACCACTTTTCCGTTCACAAAAATGTGCTAATAGCTGAGCTACCCTAAGACAGAAGGATTAAGTAGCAAAGACAATTTCCGATAATCGTTTTCACAATTAATTTGGACGCAAACTTCATGCCCACGATATGCCGCTGTGGACAAGTCGTTTGAACCCAAAACATTGAAGTCACTTGGGTAGTAGTTGGCAATAGAAAAACGACATAATCCCAACTGTCGCCAGATGCGAATCCGATTGATACGTTTGGGTAGTAACCCAGCTAGGGTGACGAAGAAAAAAAAATAATAAATTTTTTTTTTCAAACAACAGTCACTTTGACTGCTTTTTGGCTATGTAAATTTGTGGGTACTATGTGTATGCTAATTGTTTTCTTATTTAAAGTACAACAACAATAATGGCTAATTTTAGTAAGTGTGTTTTATAATAATGACATCACCAAGCTTGACTCATTTCTTGCTCCTTTTTCAAATAAAACTCACAGCCTACTCAGATATAGAAATAGGAACATACGTACATATATATGTATGTAAATATGTTGCTGCATGTACAATTTTAAATGCAAATTGTTTTAATTAAAAGTCACGAAATACATAAAACGCTTTCAAAACAAAGCAACATTTACGCTCTCGACGCAAATGAGTCACCTAAAAGCGAATTATTTACGTACTTTACTCTAAATTTGCTAAGTAAATAAATAAAATGCGGATAAGTGTCGACATAAATATGTACGTATATGTCAATATGTACCCATATGTACATATGTACATCTGTAACTAGATATTGCCAAAAACCACTTTGTAGTGATGGGCTTTTGTTATCGTTGAAAGCGCAAAAAATAGAATGCACAAGTGTGTCAGTGGCGAATTAATGTTTCACAAATAATTGTTTTTTTTTTCTATTTCTGTTGCTTTGCGCTTTGTTGTAAACTTTTACCGCTCAGGGTTTAAGCGCACATTTGCATTGTAAAAGTTGCAAACAATAAACATTTTCAAACAATGAACAAGCGAACAGGTTAAATTCGGTAAGCGAGTAAAAGCATTGGGTAAGCCAGTAATGGTTACATATTTGCCCTAGGGCGGTTCTAATTAAGTAAGTCGTAATTTTAATGCTCTCACCCCCCTAGAACTGTTCTTTATCGAAAAAAGTATACCCCTATTTTGTTTAACTTGACATCAAAATAATATTTAGAGGTCGCTCAAAGCGCTCAAAGTTGTCCATGTATTTTATATGGGGAAAAACAGATTTTCGTAGAAATGGTATAGAATTCTTCAAAATTAATATTTTTCTATCGAAAAACTCTGTTTCTCTTCAGGAGACTTCCTATGACATTACCCAATTGTTTATTTAACCATTTGTGAATACTAAAGATTTTTTATTTATCCCTCATTGCATTTTCTGGGAGTTTTGGCGGAGCTATAAAATATAGTTACTATAAAAAAATTGCTAAGTAAATAATTGGGTGTTATTATTGGGAATCTCCTGAAGAGAAACAGAGTTTTCCGAACCAAAAATATTGACTTTCAAAAATTCTATGGTTTTTTTACCATATAAAATACATGGAACACTTTGAGCACTTTGAGCGACCTCTAAATATTTTTTGATTTCAAAATAAAAAATAAGGGTATATTTTTTTCGGTATAGAACAAACCTAGGGGGTGAGCATAAAAATTCCGACTTTACTTTTTCACATGCATTTTTGGACAACCCTAATGTACATGCTACATATGTGCATATCTGTTGACGTAAAATAATAGTTTGCGAAATTTAAAAAGGTGTATACATACATTCATCATAAAGTCTTTAAGGAGCCTTTTTTCTTTTGAAACGGTATAACAAATACATTTAGGAACTACTCATTTAAAAAAGTAGTACTCATACTAGACCCATGTCAAATAACATTTTAGCTTTGTGACCATGATCATTCCTCCAGTAACTGTGGTTATATTTATGCGGGGTTTGCCTACCACATAGTTTGTTTTTATATTTCAGGGCATTTCGCAAAAGAGCAATGGAGTTTATTTNTGCCTACCACATAGTTTGTTTTTATATTTCAGGGCATTTCGCAAAAGAGCTACTCTACTCGTTCCCCTCTTCTGTGGAAAAGTTTGTTTTGCAGTTTAGTCGTCATAGACCTTTTTTTGGGCAGGTTTTCCTTATTATTATTTTTTTCGTAACCTTATACCTAATCCTCGAAAAGGCGGAGCAGAGACACAAAAAGTGTTCCGCCATCTCATTCCTTTCCAGGCAGGAAGGGCTAAGGGGTTTGTCATGTATGGCCATCACTGTCAAGTGTTTATGCCACGTAAAGTGCCCCACGAAGAATGTCATTTCAGGGGAATCAAATTTTAATTTTATTTGCAGTTGTATTGGAAACTGTTCTGGCAAGAATGTTATTAACTTCTAACTACATCTTCTCGAACTGGAAGTTGGAGAATAGAAGCCGGTGCTATTCTATACCCGAAGGATTTGCAGATAAGGCGTTTACATCGATTTGTCACCGGAATGGTTCAGTGCAAAATACTACTTCGCTGAAGGGCCCAGGCTGATGCTGAAACCTTTCGTTTCTCTGGTCCGAGCCACTGCCTAAAAAAGGACACATTTCAGCAGAATTAACTTTCCGGCGATTGACTATTGTCACAGTTGACGAAACGACGACAAAATCTACTGCTTTCTCTGTGATTTTTAAGCTCTAGCTGGACTTAAGCGGTTGACGTTGCCAACCAAACATTTTCGACTGTCTGTTAGACTTTATCAAGTAAAATATCGATTTTTTTCTATATGATGAATCTGTTATAGCCTAACCTACAAAGACTAAAATTTCTTCGACAGTGTAAGATATTTTGGACTGTTCTCTCAATCGCCGAATCTCCCTCAAAGCAACAATTTTCTTAGAAGGAGAGGACCGATTTTACGACGGCTTTGAACAGCTTCGGAGAACAGTGGTGTCTTTTAATACTTCCAATTAAGTTTATATCTAGCGACGGCATTTAACAGAGAATAAGGTCCAATAAAAATACATTAAAAACTTAAGGTAATTTTTACGAGTCTTTTATTGAAAAATTATATGTTCGAAGTTATAGCTACTATATCGGAGATCCCCACATCACTTCATAATCCACTTTCTTTCAGTGCATTTTTGTGATGAAGTGCAGAAATATTTCATGTGTTTATTTGAGTACTATATGAGGTCACTTCGACCATACAAAATGAAAAAGTTTACACTTACCTTTCTTTCTAGCGCCGACCTATTTATGTAGCATGTACTTGCTTTCTCAGCGTTGGTGATTATTATTTTTATTTTTGCAGCACAATTTTTACCAACTAATATTGCTATTTGATAACCGGTTTTGCAACCAATGGTTTAATTATTTTACTTTTTCACTTTGTTTTTTTGGTTTATTTCACTTATTGGTGGATTGGTACATGAAGACTGCAAGAAAGCGCTGTCATACTCGTAGTTATTTTTGTTGTTGCTTTTAAGCGACGTGATTCGTGATACCAACACCTGTATGTACATTAGGGTGGTCCAAAAATGCATGTGAAAAATTTAAGTCGGAATTTGTATGCTCTCACTCCCTGGGATTATTCTGTACCGAAAAAATATATCCCCAATTTTTTTTTTTAAATCATATTTTATATTGGATAAAACCACTTTTCGTAGAAATGGTTTAGAATTCTTGAAAATCGATATTTTTCGATCGGAGGAGATTCCCAGTAACAATACCCAATTATTTATTTAACTATTTTTTAATAGTATATTATATATATACTACTATATTTTATAGGTCTACCAAAAACCCCCAGAAAGTGACAGAAAATGCAATGAGGGATAAATAAAAAATATTTATTATTAAAAACTGGTTACATAAACAATTGAGCATTGTTATTAGAAGTCTCCTGAAGAGAACCAAAGTTTTCCGGTATGAAAAATGTAGATTTTCTAGAATTACATACCATTTCTACGAAAAGTTGCTTTTCCTTACATAAAATACATGGAAAACTTTGGAGCCCTTTGAACGACCTCTAAATATTTTTTGATTTCAAAATAAAAAATACGGGTATATACATATATATTTTTTTATACAGAACAATCCTAGGAGGTGAGAGCATTAAAATTCCGGCTTTACTTATTTTGGACCACCCCCATGTACATATGTACGTAGGTATGTAGATGTTGCGATTTTTACGACGTTCTTTAGTAAACTTAACTGCGCACGTTTAACTGCGCTTAGTTGAAAGAATAAAGTAATATGCACCATAAAAAATGCATAACCTTGCTAGCAATAGGGAAGGTGAGTTTGGACTTTCTAAATATTTAATATACATACTAAAATTCGTTAAAAGATACACCCAATAGGTGAGGTTTATGCTTTAACACATTGTAAGCAATGAGCGCATACAATTTTTTTTTTAGATTTTTCATTACCAGGCAATAACAAATGAAATCATTGTATCGATAAATTCTCAATACCAAACACAGACACATTGTTATCGTTTAGTGAAACGTAGTACTTTGTACATTCTTATCAGTCGCTAACATTTTGAAATCGCTTTTGCAGGTGATAGCGCAAATATATGTATGTATGTATTTATGATAACCTAGTAGATAATTTCAGGAGTTAAAAGCCCTGCGAAAGGCCTTCCTGAGAGTCAAGAGGCCTTCCTTTCTACAGTCCATTCTCCTTTCTTTTTTGTATGGGTTGGCGCTACCCATGGCCTTCCAGAAGAGCTTTTATAGGACGTACATCAGAAGGCCTTTTGGAGGAGTTCTTTTGAAGTTGCTTCTTTAATTTATAAAAAGCATACATCTTTGAAGTATTTGCTTAAGGTTTATATCAAATATGTATACTGCAACTTAAAATATTTATTTAAATTCATTTCTATGTATTCTAATGTAAATTTTAAATAGAAGATTCCTTCTAGAAAGCATGCAAGAACGCACTCTTTTCAGCCCTTCTTGGGTAGGCCTCTTAGAATGGCTTTACTTAAGAAGGCCTACCTAAATTATCTTCTGGGAGCCATACAATAACTATCGATGCGTGTATGTTCCTCCGTAACTGTTATCTACGCCAATAAAACAAATATGTACATCGACGATTTTCAGATAAAATTCCGCAATTCCAAACAGAATAAGGGTGACTTGTATTTACTTGGAAAACAAAAACTGGCCATTGTGAGTTCAAGGAAATGTTACACTTATAGAGCTTTTGCAATAAATCGAAATGTGTCATAAACTACATATGGGTGCTTCCATGGTGTTGGACGGGACATTAGAGTTAAATAAATCATACGAAAACGGAAGTTACTTATAAAAAAAAATTCCGTTTTATACCGTCCTTCGATTAACAAAAAATTTAGGTGCGCTTGGCGCACTGGTGTCGGAAAAATCGATCAAAAGGAGGTAAAAAAAAAATATTCTTGGTGCAAGAACATCTATAAATCATAATTTAAGATCTAACTGTAAATGCCGCAGTTATGACGAAAAATGTAAGTAGACGACCTCTACTTTCGGCCAACAAACAAAAAAACCAATCGAAATTGCCTAGCAAAAATACTTCAGATTCGAAGATATACGGCGAACATTTTGTTCTGGCGCGGTCTAATGTAAATAACATATAATTTTCTCAGGAAATCTGCCTTCTCCACAAATACAAAAAAAAAAATGTTAAACACTTTGCCACACACTGAACAAGTGAGCGCACCGCACCTTGAGTCACCAGCACATTTACAATGCCAATGGCAATTGCCCACATTTGGTCTAATTGTTCTAACAACTTCCTAACAATTTGAGCTGGTGGTGATCGTAAGTAAATATTTAGCATTTAGTAAAGATCACTTTGTCATAAGCGGACAGGCCTGTGACGACAGTGAGGGGATTAAGTTACTGCGACGCGGCGCTAAGTCAGCCACTTTAGCTTTGTAGTGGTTTGGCGCTGTGTCTTTCTTTTATTTCGTATGGGATCTGTGGGTCTTTTTTGTATAGAAAATGTATTCTTTCTTGTGTTTTGGTAATTTTGTATATTTGGAAGATAAATTCTAAAGCCATAAATTCGAAAGTCAGCGGCGTATAAGCAAAATAAACAAGTTTTATTGCTGGCTCTTTTTTTTTTTTTAGAAGTGATCACATGCGCTCATCGATCGATAGCAAAAATTGAAAGCAGATAGTGGCAGAATGTTTCGAAATGTTAAAAAAAAAAATTATTTATGCTCTTGCTTAGTACTTATGACTTCATACGATCGTGCATCACGCGAATATTGCTTTTTTTACACTCTATTTTAATTCTTTTGTTTTTTATTTCGTTTTTTATTTATTTTTTTTTTTTGTCTAATGACATCATCAACCCAACTGGCTGTGCTTATTGTTTAGTACAGGCCGCTGCGGCTAAATGCGGGTGATGGTGGCGGATCGTGATCGCATTTTGAAATGGATCGTCGTGAAGGGGAGTATTTTTTTTTTTTTGCTTTTTTGTTGTGCGAATTATACTCATTTTCGAAAAATGTTTTTATCCCTCACACATTCATGTTTTTATCAGCGTTTTGCTTGGTTTCTAATTGGAACGTGAGGGCTGCTTTATTATTTTCGTTATTAGTTTTTATTATTTCACGATTATTTATGTATGTATGTATATGTGTGTAACAGGAAACAGATACACTCACAGCGCAGCGAGTTCGCGGCAAATGTACGCAATTAATTTTTTATGAGTTTGCACGCGTGTACATACAAGCAAACAAACAAACACAAATGGCTTCCAAAAAAATAATGAGCGCCCGCAAGTGACTCGAATTACAGCGTTACAGATTTTTAAAATATTTTCGGGTCACTAATTTATTTTTTTTTTTAGTTTTTCATTGCAAATCACTAAATTCTCTTTTTTTTGCTTTTTTGTAAAATTTTTGTAGATACTAATTTGTTGATAATATTTGCAAACGGGTTTTATCAATTCAATTTCAATTCTGCGCCAAAGTCGAGGTTATTGCACAGCTGAGCTCATAAACGCGCGCGCACAAAAAAAGGTACACACAAAAAAAAACAGTCAACAGACATCAACAACTTGTTCACCGGTTTACCTTCACTAGTTCAATTTTATATATTTTTTTGTTTTGCGCAATTAGCAACATACAAACCCGTTCTTTTTTGCATGCATTTACTATGCAAGTACATATTTATATACAGACATATGTATGTATGTATGTTTATTTGCGGATAAATTCATTATTTGCATATAGTATTTCGTACACTTTGCAGATAACTTCATATACCCATATACATATACATATGTATGTACTTAGAACACTTCGTTATTTTTTTTTTGCCTGTACCCTTTTACCTTTGTTACTTATCTTCAACTTCACAAAAAATTACTTTGTTTTATTTTCAGGTATTTCACTTATGCGCGTTCCGTCGAGTACATCCAACACGTTTGGTGTTTGAAAAACAACTGAAAACCGTACCCAATGGACGCACGTTTGGTTGTTTAATTGTGGAGATTGCTCGCTTGCTTGCTGACTTGGTGGTTTGCTAGCTGACTGCCTGACTGCCGTGAGCGCCCTGAGCTGCAACATCAGCAGACCAAAAGCATTCCCCACGCTACAGTCACACTCTCCATCATTGTAGTCGTTGCCATCACTGCTGACACCGTCATACACCACTGACGCTCACTTTGCCGGCAAACGAACCAAACAAGAAAACGTTGACGTGTACGATGGGGTTGGTGCTCAGTGAATTGCGACAAAGGTACCTCATGCATAGCTTCAGTAACATATAAATATGTACGACCGGGCACAGTGATGCAGGTAAGGCGATAGCCCAAAAACAAAAATTACACTAACAAATTATTCGCAAAATGACAGTAAAAATTACAATAAATGTACAACAAATAATTTTGACATTAAAAAACATTGAGGCCAAAAAATCAGCTGCTCTGGTAACACCACCTATAGTATGTATAAAATAAGCTAAATAAACGAGCCACAAAACATCAAAGAGGTATACCTTTTCCTTAATGCAATTGTACAGTTTTATAGACGACCGCACCCCTTTGTTTGACAACATCAAGGCGCACGCCACAAATCGGAGGAGAAACTCGGCCAAACAACGCAATTTCATCCGCTCCTCCTACAGGACCACGTTGCGGTTGGTGGCCATACTCATTTTCCGTTATAAAGAAAAGATATCCCTGAATTCGTGTAGACGCAGACAACGGAAGTACGTCAAAAATTCTATCAGACAGTTAGGCGACTCACGGAAGATTTCAGCATCATAGCAAGAAATGGCGACCTAGTGAGCGATTAAAAATATGGAGCGAACCCTTCTCCATCTTTATGAAGATGAAGCCGAGTTTGCTACCCGACTCCACTATAATGCCGTACGGATATCAATTTCGCGACTAAAAAACAACAAAGCCACAGCAACTGACGGATTAGGCCAACTGAGCTATTCAAGTACAGTGGCGAGGAGTTGATAAGGGGCATGCATCAACGGCTTCTCCAGCTTGGATATAGAAGCAAAGCCACTCATCATGCCCGTGATAGTATATATAGCAGAAGCATATATTGTCCATATGGACAATGACCATTACGCTTTGACGACAGCGACTATCGCAGACGATGGAGTGTAAAAAAAAACGATTATTTTACATCCGATTGAAGCAGCTCACGACATCCGCTGTTTGCACCAAGTTTCCTTTGGGTAGCAGCCAAATACCTGTTTGGAAGCGAGCTAGTTATAAGAAAGCGAACCCGCAGCAATAGGTTGTTCGCTAGGTTTGGAGCTCGCCTCGTAAAAACAATGATAAATGATTTTAAAAATTTTTGAGTATCTCAAACACACAAACATTTAATCACCTTAATGTCCACAAATTTGTTTTTTAAATTTATCCAAAAACAAACCACAGTACCGTCATTTCTCATCACTCGTTTGTGTTAGCACGATGTTTGAGAGAACTTTCCAACATTTCTGCACAACAGCACTTTGTATCTAATAGTGAACAATGTGTTGGCGACATCAGTTTAGCGGCAACAAAAGCGCGCCAGTCTGCAATTAAATCTGTTGCTTTGTTTTGAGTTGCAATTCCCAACATTCGCTTCAATTGCTGTTTCTACAGCTTTTAGCCCACACTCGGAGCCCATGGTTTGGTATACAGATGCATATATTTGTGTTTGCATTTATATATGGGGCGTTCCATACCAAAACGGACGGGGTTCACACTTCATGTGTTTGATTTGTTTCAAATGTTTAGGGTTGATGCATACACATAAATAATAAATAATTAAATACAAAAAATTTGAGCTTGATCAAAATTTTCGATGAAAAAAAAATATTTTTAAAATTTTTTATTCTTGAAAAATTTTTCAGATAAAAATTTGTTGAAGAAAAAAATAGTTTTTGAAATAGTTTTGTCATCTCAAAAAAAATTTAAAAAGGCACAATGGTAGCTCTGAGTATTGCGCAATATTTAAGTATAGTATTATGTGGTGCACTCTACAATAATTTGAGTTATCAATTTTTTTTTACACCGAAGTTCAGTAAATTAGTACATTACAAATTTGCAGATTTTTTTAATTTTTTTTAGAATTATTTCTTTTTTTTGAATATGCAGTCTTGTAAATCAACAAATTTTAGTACAATGAAGTACAAGTTAAATTTGAAGGGCTATAAAACTGCATACTCAAAAAAATTTATTTTTTTACCCAACTTCGGTGTAAAAAAAAATTCATAACTCAAATTATTGTAGAGTGCACCTCATAATACTATACTTCAATATTGTGCAATATTCAGAGCTACCATTGTGATTTTTTTTTATGTTTTTTTTTGAGATGGCATATTTTCATATTTTTTTATCAAAAATTTGTATGTGAAAAATTTTTCAAGAAAACAAAATTTTAAAAATATTTATTTTCATAGAGAATTTTAATGTGTGTATGTGTGATTTCTTTCAAATTTTTCCCTCGTTCCGTTCTCGAGATATTTGGAATACTATTAAATCGATTTGTTTTTGCTTTTGTGCTGTAAAGTTTTTAAAAATGTATTAATCAAGCTCAAATTTCATATTTGGTTATTATTTCCCTAGCCCTAAAAATTTAAAACAAATCAAACACATAAAGTGTAAACACCGTCCGTTTTGGTATGGAACGTCCCATATACATACGTAAACAAATATATGTGTGTACATGGTTACAAACGTGTATTTTGATGCTGTTGCAAGAGTGTTTGTTGCATGTGTTGTTGAACGTTTGAGTGTTTGAATGCTTCATAGAGACTGGTGAATGATGCATTGCATCAGGTCGACGTCACTTGACTTATATTTGAATTGGATTTCCATTTGGTTAAGTTTGTTGCATAAACAAGAGATGCAAATGGTAGGTAAAATAATGTACAAGACATTTACGTGCATTCGTAGGTACACATAAATAATACTTAACAAAGCATAAAGTCTATTCACTTTTCGTAAAGGGCTGGAATGCCAAACATCACAACATCACATGATGTGAGCGGTGTATATGATGTGATTTTCCATTAACGTGACGTTTTTCCATGTAAAGGGACTTAAAAAATACCGATGACCTTAACATGTCCAATACCTACGAGTTTTGATCACTATTTGCTTCGCTGTCCGGGCCTACAGTCGAGACAGTTCAAATAACGAAGGTAGAACATTTGAGACCTCCTTGGCATGATTGCTTGGGAAGCTTTTTGTTTCAGGCAATAAACCTCTTGAAAAGGGCGTAGCAGTTTTAAGACTAAACTTAACAAAACGCTTGTTTTACTGTAGATTTCGGCAAAATATCCAATTGTTAACAACATTTGTTTCACAACTTTTTTTTTTTTAAATCGAAGTACTTAAAATTTAGATCTTATTGTGGAAGATCGACCTATCTCGGCAGCCAGTTCGAAAACGACATACCTCAGAAAACTTTTCAAAAACGCCCTGATTCAGAATTTGATTAAAGGACGAAGAATTTCAGAATTTTATTGGAAAACACCCTATGTCAAAATTTGGGTGAAGAAACGCCCTATCTCAAATGAAAAAGTGATAGGGCGGTTTTGAACCGAATTCTGAAATAGGACATTCTTCAATAAAATTCTGAGATCCCTATCTCTCCAACCAAATTCTGGAATAAGGCATTGATGAGAAATTTTCTCTTGCCTCCGACATCAAAATATGAGTTTTCAGAAAAAGTGGACTTAGCAACTTTTCGCTCTAAATTAGCGATAAACTAGTTACTTGAGAATGTTTTCAAGAATTATTTTCCAATAAAAAAATGTCTTTCGAAAAATAGTCCCTTATTACAAACATATATGTATGTAGTATGGGTACGCACTCAATTACAATGTGAATTTAAAGTCAAAGTAAGTTAAGGTATAAACAAGGGTAGATTTTTCGGCAAGCATGTAACATTAAAGATGCCTTCATTGGCACGAAAGACGCTAGTTGCACACGTGGGGAAATACCAACATACCCTTAGTGGTTTTTATGCATTTACATGGGAATAGTTAAATTTACATGACAATTCTGACATCTGCCCCTTTTTAGTGCTGTATTGTTTTTTAAAGAGGCTTTCCTCTTCCTCTGCTACCACCAGCGGGTAGCGCATTGAATATTTTTCGGGGCTTTCGCAGAGCCGCGGTATTTTAAAGCTCTACAGCTCACTGTCTACAGAACTCGTTGTAGAAATTCAAGATTGGTGTTAATGCAGAATTTCCCAACTTTTTTGAAATTATAACAGACGGCGCGGATGTTCTAGGCGTCTTGTCACAATGAAGAAGGTCGACAAAAGAGAGTCGCGATGTCTGAAACTTCGTTTTGCATCGAAGATCGCTGAGAGGTTATTCCCCGTTGACACAGAGCTGGATGTATTGCTCTGCATTATTTTACATCGCGGCAAGTAGTCAACACCTTTCCATGCTGGCGAAAGCGGAGTGTGTCTGTTCTACTCTCGCGGGTTTTTCCAAGATCTGTTGAATGGTGATCGAAACCGAAGCAATTGATAGTGTCGAGGAAGGACTCTATGCTTAAAAGCAGAATAATCAACGCAGATGTAGACAAAAGGTCCTTTATCAGTAGAATAACAAGAAGAACTCCGCAGGGAGTGGTGTTAAATAAACTGTTAGAAAGCTTTAAAGTTAAAAGAACGAAGGTAGTTATCTAAGCTGATGACTTCGCTTCACCAATTTCCGGAAAATTTTTGCCAACATTCAGTGAGCTGATAGAATCTAAATAACTGGGCAAAACAAAATCGGCTATGACGTACCCTTTTAAATCTGAACCTTTCTTGTTCACAAGGAAAACAAAAATCCCTGAATTCCCCTTACCAAAGCTGGACGGAATAGCCTGAACCTTTCCTCCGAGGTGAAATACGTAGGTATTATCCTTGACTCCAAACTTACATGGTCGCGCAACGCAGAAGAAAAGGCGCACTTTATCT